CATTACAGTGGGATGTTGGCAAAGGGCATCAAAAAAGTGTAGGCTGGACAGACCCTCTTTGAATCTATTAAAGAAGATTGTTAAAGACAGTAAACCTGGCCATACCTTCCCCCATTACAACATACAAGATAATTTTGTAAGCACATTGTTTCAGGCCATATACAGTCCCCCTTTTTTAAATATAGTATTTTTCCATACCTTCTGAGGATTATGTAAATACTATAAAACAATCATATGCTATATGAAGGCTGAGAAGTCACAAAATAAGAAACACTTAATATTTTCCAGGCAACATAACATAACATAAGGTACGGTGGTAGCCTAGTGGTTAGGACACCACCAATGGGTCTCTGAGCAAGACCCTGAACCTAAAGTTGCTCCCTGTAATTAGGCAATGAAAGTCGCTCTGGACAAGAGTGTCAGCTAAATAGCGTAAATGTAAATAATAATACTATTATTAAACCTATTGCAGAATAGTAGTGGCAGCAACAGTAATAAAGCAAGTGCCCTATTGAATTTTGAAGAATTACTTGGCTCCATTCAATACACTAGTCAAGTCAAAATCAAAATGAACTTTGTCATTTCAGCTATGTACAGTACACAGTGAAACAAGACACTGTGGCTCCAGTTCTTACAGAGTACAAAAAGGCACAAAGAATAGACATCTGTTAAATGAACTATAAATATGAACTCTAAGCTAAAGTAGAAAATGTGCAATTTTAGTTACTGGAGGTATTCAGTATTATGTTTAAGTATTGCAACAGCACCGAATTTGAAAAAAAGTCATTATAAATACAATATTGGAATGATGTGTGCATTATATGTGCAAATGATCAGTTCACTATGATTGTACATACAATATATAAAACAGCAGCTACAGTATAAAATGCAATTTTGGCATGGGTAGTGCCTTTAAAACAATCAGTAAGACTTTTGAGATCGGGAATGCGGGAATGATCGCACTCAAAGAGTTTCTTAACCATGCTCCAGGGGCGGTTGGTGAGATAGAAAATCATCGGGCGCGCAGCACCTTCAAAATGATTTCGAGAAATAATGATCGTCAGTTATTACGATCAGTCTGAACTGGTTTTACGTGTTAATATTGTCTATTGTTATCAGGGAAACTGTCGTATCGTCTTACAAAGGTGCCAGCTAAAATATGCTAATGAATTTCTCCAGTGAGGAGATGTGACGATAAAAACACAGAGCAATGTATGCATGATGACTTTCAGCCCCTTGTGAGGAGCCCGGTCCAGGTGTAGCGGATCTGATATCATCATAACCATATTGGAATGTTTTGCGTTAAGAATGAAACGACTTACAACGCAAGGCTTTTCAAACATCTGTTGATATCTTAAAATGTTTAACTTTGAAAGGTAAACAGGAAGGAATGTTACCTGGTGGGTATGTTGAACTTTTCAACATTAATTTCGAATGGCAAAGATTAAATCTGCGATCGCGGTGAGGACCAGTTCTATCCAAAATATTTATACACACACCTCGAGATCAGCATTTCGGGAAATGCAAATCACATAAAGGTAGGCTACCGTCCTAGGACCTAAACAAATAACATGTATGCCTATTTTGGTTTGGTGTCCAACTTGTTATGTTTATAAGCGCCACGATTTGGAGTACAAATACAGAATGTGACCACATTTTGGTTAGTGGTAAAATACTCTGTAGTATTTTTGCATGACGCACTAACGTCCGCTCTTAACGCAGTAGTGGGAAGTGGGGGGAGCAACATCACCCATAAAGGGAAACGAGCTTGTGATCTTCATTTCACAACCTGCGAGACGAGCCATGGACAAATTTAAACTACTGAGCAGTTTCGTCCAGAAACAGCAGACCACCCTGGGCTTCAGCTTGGTGGCCTTGCTGACGGCGGGTGGAGAGCAGATTTTCTCGACCGTGGTTTTTAGATGTCCCTGTAATTCCTGGAATTTAGTGTACGGGAGCGTGTTCCTCTTCGTTCCTGCCCTCGTGCTTCTTGCCCTCGGATACATTATAAACAACAAGACCTGGAGGCTGTTCACGGGTTTATGCAAAGGCGCACAGCAACAGTGCCACTTCAAGCAGGCTTTGACCCGATGGCAAGTGTTCCTGCAGATCTCCATCAGCGCGGTGGTCGCCCCCGTCAGCTGGATCGCAGTGGCGCTTCTCAACGGCGTTTACTTCGAGTGTACCCTGACTGGGGTGAACGCGACCCTTTTCAGGGAACACCTCTGTTCCGGGAAAACGAAGGCTTGTCTGGAGGAGCTCAACTTATTCCCCTGTGGGAAAGGTTCTGTGCCCGCGGCCGAGCGTGATGATGTGCTGCTCGGCATTCGTGCGGAGTCACAGGTAAGGCACATGTCACTGGGAGATCTTACTAATGTTGAATGGGAACTATCCTGGACGACTGATGTAAACTTAGAATTCTAAGTCACGTTTAGTCAATTGAAACATTTTATGATTTGGGACTAACGGGAAGCTTTTCTTTTTAAATTGATTTTAACTCCTACCCCTCCCCCTACAAAGAAAATTTAATAATAAAAAACGGCAAAGAAGCTATTGGTAAGTGGTAGTCTAATTAAAGACAACCGATAGAAAATAAGTTGAAATATAAAAAAAAGTTTAAGTACGGAAAGTAATCCATCCATCCATCCGCCCGGAAAGTACCGCGCAAGGCAGAGAGCGGACGCCACCGGGGCCGGTGTTCTGACAAAACATCCTACCTATCGAGACGTGCTATCGAGCCTTTCTGCGCATGTGCAGTTCCACCGTCTTGGGATTAGGGTTAGGTTTTAGGGGTTAGGGTTAGGGTTAAGGTAAGAGTTTTATGGGGTTTTGGGGGGTTAGGGTTATGATTAGGGTAAGAGTTAGGGTTAAGGCTATCGATTAGCACTACGGTAGGATGTTTTGATAAAGTACGACGTTTTGTCAGAACACCGGCACTCCGCATTCACACACGCAGCGGATTTAAAAAAAAAATGGAAATCGGGAAGCTCAGTTCATGCACGTGAGCCGGACAAGTTGCTGGTGTAAGTTTTCTGTTTCCGTTCCCCTTTTATTGGTGGGTCACAGCATTTAGCTCTACAGATTATTTTGAATCGTATAGGGTACTTACCGCAATTTCTACACTAACTTGGTAATGATGCGCTTCGAGAATATCAAAGGTTCACGGAGATTAGTTTTACGTGTGAAATCAACAGTCTATCATTTATGTGCAGTATAAATATTCAACAACACGGAGGTAACTGCCACCCTTGCGCAAACGAGGGATGCGAGCCACAGTGAAATCAGGCGCTTTCACTCAGCGTGGTACCTCATTTAGTCGAGGAATTATGCCCATTATTCCGATAACCGTGACTTGAGCAATACCTTTGAGTGAGTGTTAGGTGTGCTGTGAATCTTGGCATGCGTGACTATGGTTTTATACTGTTTATTTTTTCACGAATGCGTAGAAGGTTAGTATAGATGTCTGATAAAACATTTTGGTGGATAAAGTGACGTCAAGACCATGAGCAGTTCTTTAGCAGTGGTGGTGAAAGGTTCTGTGGCAAATGACTTCTCCTTTGTCCTTTTCTTAACAAGGAGACAAAATGACATGGGTGCATGTTTTGGGGACCACGTCGGAACTTACTTTTGCTCATTATCGTCTCTTTAGAATACAAAATATTGCCATGCAGCAGAAGACGTGGCCAGTTCCTGTTTGCCTTTCCTCTCTCAACTCTTCTCTTTTTAGTTTCATTTCTCACTATAAAAGTGGCTTAATGACGGTGGTGGCTTAATGGCTATGGAAGCGCACTTGTAATTTAAAAATTGCTGGTTCGAATCCCTAACCAGCAAGACACCGCTGAGATAAGGTACCACTCCTAAGCACTACTCCCCGGGCGCTGAATTAGCTGCCCCCTGCTATGTCACGATGTCACATATGGGTTAAATGCAGAGGATACATTTTGTTGTTGTGCACTGTGTGCTGTGATGTGTCAACAATGACCACTGATCATCTAATTGTAAACGTGCCACATAGCCTATGTGTGAGTCCAACAGCATGGATGAGATTGATTATGATTGTCTCGGAGAACGCAGAGCATATGCAAAAGCTGCGGTGGTAAACTTCATACTTCTTGTACATACGCTAAATACAGTGGTACCTCAGAACTTGAACTTAATCCGTTCAGAACTTGGGTTCGAATCCTAAAAAGTTCGAGTTCTGATCGAATTTTCCCCATAAGAAATAATGGAAAACCAATTAATTAATTTATTATTTTATTTACCTTTATTTTACCAGGAAGTCCCATTGAAATATAAAATCTCTGAAATCTCTTTTACAAGAGAAACCTGGCCAAGGTAGCAGCCATACAAAACATAAACATATACATGACAATAAAACATTAAACAGTAAAACAGAAGAACTAATTACAGAAGAACAGAAGAATTAATTGGTTCCCAGTCAGAAAAAAAATACACACAAACATGTTTTTTTAAACATTTAAACACAAAATGAACAGCATAAAACAAATAGAGCATATACAAAACACATCTAAGCACATTTATCAAAACGGTAATTCGTAAAGTAAGAAAATAAATGTATCCAAACAATGTGTAAAATTAAAAACACTGCGCCGTGCCATTTTTCCTAATGGCTTCCAGAACGATCTCTGTTTTCGTTCATTTGTTCGTAAATCGCAAACGTTTAGGTTGTAACATCTGTACAACTATTGCGTAACTTTTTGGTGAGCAATGGCTACCAAAATGATATAAAATACAGTGTATTACCTGATATTTTCAATGAAAAAAGCACTATCACCAACAAACGATGCTATCACAGCGAATGCGAATCACGGAGACTGAAGCGTTACCCTTTGTTTCCGCTGCGTGACAAATTTCCCCGCGCGTACAAGTTATCTTAAAATTCGCTGCACTGATTGTATTAGCGTTTGTTGCAATACATCTACCCTCTCCTGGTCTGGTGGAATATTATTGCTGTGTTTTCACCATTACGCCTTAAAAGCACCAGTGTTAGGGATGCTTGGCCGTACTTTTGAGTGCAAGTTTACCACATTCCCCTATCATGCTTTTATGGCTCGAGTGGTGTGTGGCTGTGTAGATTAGCTGTGTGCGGTTGAAAGGTTAGTCATACAGATCAGTAAGGAATCCACTTCCAGAGGACGATGGTTTTTTTTAGCAGCAAATGTAATATATTGTAATACGGTTTAGAAATACACCAAGTATTGAAAAGCAGCTCAAATACCAATTAAGGACAGTTCTTCACCCCCATTTATACCCCAAAAGACCCTCCCCAGCGACGTGCTGTGTGTAGGTGTGGTGAATGAATTTGCATATAGGGGGTGGGGTGACCCCCTGGAGTGTTTGGAGCCTGCAGGGGATGGGGAGGACAGGATGGAGACTCTCTGACGACCTCCTTATCACCTTTGTGGGGCCGACTGGAAGCCCCATACTCTCCCTGACTTCCCCATGATCATAAACTGCTATCCCCCCTCCCCCAAAAAAAAGAATTTACACCCATGCCTACGCCTACGCCTGTACACGACCACGCAAAGGTTTTTGCAGATCACAGGGTTTTTTTCTTTTACCACTTTTCCATTTATTTCATAAACTGCAGATTTTTTAATTCTTGTTCAGCGTTGGAAAGTTGAGTGAACAACTATAAGTGAAAATATAAGTGAAATAAAACACGGAAAGAGTATGTAACTGCATGTCTCACATCCAGTTAACTGGTTGTGTGGTGGTGGCATAGTCAAATTATAGGCTGTCCTTTAACTTCAAATGCGCTAGTTAACTGTTTCATCTCATGAAACAAAGCAGTATTTAATGTCCCTTGTAGGAAGAATGTGTTGAGTTTTCTCTGCTGTTATAACTGCTAGGGGAAGTTTCTTAGATGGGGGGGGGGGGGGGTAGTGTGTGGCTCAGTGGGCTATGCCTCTGCACCTGTGATCAGAAGGTTTCCAGTTCAAGCCCAGCCTCAGCACATCCTGCAAGGCCGTTAACCACCAGCTCCCTGGGTGTCACAACAGGTGGCTGCCCTTCACAGCCAGCTATGAAGCAACCAAAGAGCAAGTTGTGGGAGGTGTAAAGAGAAACATGGATCAATTAAAATAAAAAAAAAAGAACCAAATATATGACATTTCCTTGCTAATAATGGTACTCAAATTGTGAACATACTGTAAATGTATTTGTTAGCAAAAATTTTGAGTGTATTTTTAGTAAATGTTAAGTGAGTAACATGCAGATGGGCTGGCCCCCCCATCCTGGGTTGTTCCCCGCCTCGTGCCCGTAGCTTCTGGGATAGGCTCCGGACCCCCCCGCGACCCAGAAGGATAAGCGGTTTGGAAAAAGGATGGATGGAGTAACATGCAAATGTAGAAAATCTCAGTGTGTGCAAAAACTTTTGACAGTAAAGTTATGGACAAAAGTCTCTGCCAAATAAGTAAATGTCAAAGAAGTTGGCACTGTCTTTGGTACAGCCAGTGCATATAACTAATCTGAGCTCCGTTTGACGGCAGGTTTTAGGCTGGCTGCTGATTGCTGCCGTCACTGTGTTTGGCCTCCTGTTCACCTGTGTGGCCAAGTGCAAATCCCCGGTGAGCTACCTGCAGCTGAAGTTCTGGCAGGAGTACACCAACAAGGAGAGCTCTCTCTTGGAGAAGCACATGGCGCAGAATGCGGAGTGCCTGGCCGAGAGGAACCTCAAGAGCTTCTTCCAGCAGACGCCCCCAGAACCTGTGCTGACGCCTTCTAATAAAGCCTGGCAGAAGATCTCCTCCCTGTACAGTTTTAGCACCAAGCATCAAAACTACAGCCTTCTGCAGAAGTATGTGGAGACGGCGCACGGTGACAAGTGCATGTCCCAGAAGTCGGACCCCGGAGAGCCCGCCCCTGCAGCGCTTGGCTTCGTGGATGAAGGAAAGACAATGTTTTAAAGGCCTGCGGGATAAGTTAAACTAAACAATCAGCTGAAAAGGGCTACGCTTTTTATAATCAGAGATAAGGTATTTTTTTATAGGTCTAGCTTTATAGTTTTTCATAGATTTAAATCAATTGTGTGGTTGCGCAACTGAATCAAAAAATGTAATTACACAACTCATGTATAACTTGCAAAGTAAACATGGAAGTATAGATGTGAAAAACAAATAATGATGGAGTTTGATGATTTAAATGTCAAAAGAGAGGACCATCTCTGTGACTCTGGTTTTACTGGGTTTCATGGATGGTAACTTTAAACATAATAAACAGGAAATGAGATATACGCTGCATTTTGTAATTTATTCAAAGAAGGATTAGTCTAACCACATTAGGGCTTCCCCAATGCCTTCAGGAGCTCAGTTTTTTATGGCATCTTCATGTATTGATATCACATAAACGTCTAAAAGCACATTTGTTTGAATGTATGTTGTTCTTTTGTCAAAGCCGACTTTCATGGGTGGGGCACGGTGAGTCGTCTCAGCGAGACAAAGAAATGTTAATGCAGGGGAGGCGGTGATGTAGGTACGGCTGTGCATACATGTCATGGCATTAACAGTGGCGCGTGATGCCATGCAAAACTCGCCTGTGTCATGGCAACGCTAACCACTGCTGTGGTGATGACAGTGCCGGATATAGACCGGAAATGGGCTGCATACTGATTCACATGCAGCTATCACGATTTACTCTATTCTTGCTGGATTTATGCAAGTCAGGCCATTGAGCAATGTGGAAGGATCCGACAAACAGTACTAATAAAACATAGACAAGATGGGCTTTAATTTTAATGAGAATATACACTTAGTTTCATGTAATGTACTGCAGGTGGAATGGATTCTGGGTAGAATGAACTAATTACAGCTCACAGTATATGTGTGTGTGTTTGTGTTTGGCCACAAGTTTCTGGGAGTTTCAGCGCTTCATGCAGGAATGAACATGCCTTAGATAATGTTAAATTTAAGTTGGAATGCAGGGCGGGTTTTTGTCAGATGGGATCTCTGTCCAGACGGCTGACCCAACAGAAACAACGGAGCAGGAAGACACTGAGGTCTGGGCTGCGGGGAATCCTCAGCTGGTGAAGCCAGATGTGTTCCAGGAATCTTAAGTGAATCTTAGCCTGCATGTGATTTTGAGGGGGAGGGGTGAGAGGGAGCGAAAACAAAGAGCGAGAGAGAGAGAGAGAGCGGGAGAGAGAGAGAGAGCATATGGGTGGGGCGTGCCAATTCTTTGTCTTCATAAGAAGAGCAGAGGAGCAGCACACAGGAATCTCTGCCTAGTTTACACTCTGATCGCAAGCGAGACATCGTTAGCCCTGCTTTCACCATGGATGTCTACAAGACCGTGCTGAACTTTCTAACAAACCAGAAGACCACCATCGGCTACAGCTTCATGGCCGCCCTGACCATCGGTGGACAGCGGATCTTCACCATGTTCTCCTTCCAGTGTCCCTGCAACCGCAGCCAGAACATGATGTACGGTCTGACGTTCTTGCTGGCCCCCGCCTTCGTGCTGCTCATACTGGGCTTCTTCTTCAGCAGCCGGCTTTGGAGACTTCTGACGGGGTGCTGCCTGAACCCACGCAAACTGTGTCCTCGGGGAAACTTCCTGGGGTGCACTTTTGCCCTGCTGAAGGTGTCGGTCCACGCCTTTGTGGCACCCACCATGTGGCTGTCTGTGGCCCTGCTCAACGGGACCTTCTACGAGTGCGCCGTCAGCGGCACGGACTACAACCTGATCGTGAAGATGTTCTGCAAGAACGAGACGGCGTTGTGTGAGCGCGAGCTGCCCAAGGTGCCCTGTGGAAAGACCCTGTTGTCCCCAGATGACACCAACGCTCTTCTGCTGATGTTACGTGCTCAGTCCCAGGTGAGTAACAGCAATGGCGCGGGACTCGGGTAAATTTCCCGTCACATGGGCAGGGCATGCCAATGTATGTGCAGGTACACAGATGGCATGAGTGTCCACGGCGTGTAGAGGCATTACATGTATGTGCTGGTGTGAGGAAGAGAGAAACATGCCCTGTGTGTATGACACAGGTTAACTTGGGAGTCAGAGGAATCATGGACTCACAGGTACTACCCTACTGGTTTGTCCGGTTCCTCTACATTTTTTCTCTATTATCATGTTATGATCGTGCTATGATCATGTTATGGAAATATCAGCTGGTAGTTGGTAACTTCTGTTTGTGTGTGTGAGACTTCCTCATAGTGAAGCTGCATGCGTGACAGCAGCTGTCCAGTATGAACGACTATTAGTGAGGCTGTAGGAGTGTGTGAGGATAAGTATGCTCCTATTTAACTGAGCGTGATCAGGAGTGTGTGAGGATAAGTATGCTCCTATTTAACTGAGCGTGATCAGGAGTGTGTGAGGATAAGTATGCTCCTATTTAACTGAGCGTGATCAGGAGTGTGTGAGGATAAGTATGCTCTTATTTAACTAAGCGTGATCACATGTGTGTGAGTAATCTTGTAGGTGTGCAGGCAGCCGTGCGAGCATTTTGCTTGTGAGTAGACACTTAATTCGAAACAGTTTTTTGAGCGCCTTTCACAACAGAGTTGCTCCAAGGTGCTTGTCGTGGGTGTGTGGCAATCCATTATGACATCATTTATACAGATGGATAGAAAGAAAGGAGGAGAGGAACCAAAAACTGCCAAATAGGGAGGAAAAACCGGCTATTGATCAAATGGCTACCCAACCCCCCCTGGCATGCTAACATGACAGAGAACGGGGAAAATGGGCCTGATTTAATAAAAGCAAAGTGTAAACTGTGGTTATATTCATGGTCATACTTACCTACAGAGAGCAAACTGGGGTGTAAATGGAATTTCCCCACAGTGATCAATAAAGTATCAGAAAAAAAATATCAATCATCAATGAACCAATATAGGTGTGTAAACAGGTGTGTTTGTGTGTGAGACCCTTCGGCTGAGGTCGCTCACTCACGTGTGTGTATGTCTCTGTCTCTTCAGATCCTGGGCTGGTGCATCATCATCTCCGTTGCTGCCGCCGGCCTGGCCGGCACCTGCTACAAGAACTGCCGCTCGCAGGTGAGCTACATGCAGCTCACCTTCTGGAAAAAGTACATAGACACAGAGAGAGAGAAGTTCGACATCTACGCCTCCGATTACGCCACCAAGCTGGCAGACCGAAATCTCACGAGCTTCTTCGAGAACCGTGACCCCGAGGCCTTCCCCTTCCCCACCCACACGGCGTGGGAGGAGGTCTCTGCTCTGTACAACTACTCCCACAGCGACCAGTGCTACAGCACGCTGCAGAGCTTTGTGGAGCACGGCGACCGCGACTCCCGCCCAGACAAGAGGCCTGAAATGGTAGCCTTGAATGACACCTTCTAGATACCTGTGGGACTGCCGAAGCAGAAGATGCCTTTCATTGAAGCAGCCGCCTGTGGAATGCAGCATGTTGTGTAGCTCTGAAGTGTTTAATGTCCAGTATAATACTGTAATCGTTTATTCTGCTCAAGGTCATGGGGGGAGGGTTGGAACACAGACAGGACAGGACACATGGCAAGCAGGGGCATTTCAAGGATTTTTAAATTTGGAGGGCATAAAAGAATCCATAATTCAGACAGTGAGGCCAACTTTATCATTAGCCAATGATGTGTTTTGAATTGGTGAGTGACAGGGATGAGGGAAATCCCAGAGCCAATCAGCTTTCAGCTAGGGTCAGGGGACCTATGGCTCCACCCCTGTATGCACCCCTGATGGCAGATGTATATTCTAGATGGATATACGATCACACATTACAGGTAGTTTAGAAACACCAGTTAGATTGTATGTCTTCGGAGTGCAGAAGGAAACCAAAGTGACCCCAAGAGAACGAGCAAACTCCGTACGCGCAAAGCAGAGGTGGGATTCAAACATCTAACTGTATGTCTGAGCTCCTCACAACAGGGACAAATCATATACAGAAGACAATCGTGTATGGTCACCAGGAATAACGCACAAATTAGTGTGATCAATTATGTTGACCTAACTCACTCCCCCACCCTTTCTCAGGGAAGAATCACATTATCATGATTAGGTACTAAGCCACGTTTCTCCAAAGAGACTCACCCTGCTCCCACTTTCCTCTAAGGAAGAAAACAAGGTTATTATTGTTAACAAAAGATAAAACTAGAAGAAAAACATTTTTGTAAATTCAAATAAAGTGAGATACAACAATAAAAAACTACAGATAAACAAAAAAACTACAAATATTTCACCCGAAACTGACAAAGTATGTTTCTTTGTCATTTAAAAATATTGCTTAGCTAAAGTAATGAAAGTTTATTTATCACCAATTATCATTTATAATACTTGGAACATGTTTTTCCCATTTTTAGGTCATTAGTACGTTATGTGCACTTTGTATTCACGTTGGATTCTCTAAAGATCAGACATATCAAATAACTAACTAAATTTACAAATCGAAACTGTAGTACCACTGGTAGGAATTCAGATATCTTACGTTATAAGGTATCTTATAGGGTTCAAAGGTAGAACCTCGGTTTCCCTGTATTCTATGCTGCAAAAATGCACCTCTGCAATGGAGACTCAGGGCTTTCAGGTATATCTTTTGAATAGGGCACACTATTGGCACTATAGTACAGTAGAGCCTCTGGCCACAGGAACTCCGAAGGCCTGCCGCTTGGTGCCTAAGATTCAACTACCCACAACCTGCAAATGTACCTAAACCATATTGCAGAGTGAGTGTAGATGCTTTTCCCTCTTATGGCGAGTTGTGGCACCATGGTGAGCAGAAGCGCGGATACAGTTGAAACATTTGTGCAACTTATAATGTGATACCACCTCAGTCAAGGTGCTAGCAAGAACATTTGTGGATTGGGGGAGAGGTGTGAGACAACAGTGGATCTAGGGTGAAAGGAATAACCTGTATTTGAGTCTGGGGGCATACTTTAATGGATACTAAACTGAGAAATCAAATCTGCCAAGGAGTCTTAAGTCTTGTATATTGAATAAATGATAGTTATTGCCTTTAAAGCCACCCGTGTCAAAGTCCATGGTGAGAGAGCTAAAGATTGTGGTGCTAGAGAGCCATATCATGTATTAAAGTTTTCTTAAGTACAGATTTAAACATTCCAAACACCTGTTATGGTCAAACTGTGGAAATATATGCCTAAACTAATAATGTTCTATTTTGTTGCAACTGTAATAAATGCAATTTTGTATGCCTTTTCTATTATTCCAAATAAATTTTTGTGATGATGGAAAATTTGGTATTCTTTTAAACATTTCACTGTGAACTTGAAATAAAGCTTGTTCTAGGATCAGTCCGAAACTTCATTCATTAGGTTCCACTCTTTCCATAAACCATCTTTTGTGGGTCAGGGAGAGACGTTAAACAATATTAAACGATCATTTTATATCTATACTAAACGGCCAGAATGTGAATACGACAATGGTCGCCGACGTGTCGACCGCGACTACCAGTAGCCCGCATGGAGGAAAGAGTGACCAGCAAAATATGGTAGGTTTTGGAAGTTTTACTTTTTGTGTTTCGCGTGTGCATTTTTATTCGGACGATGGGCGCCGCACTGTTTCGGCGAGCTGCAGAGTGGACGCAAAAGGATAATTTATTATAGATGTACAATGGGGAAACCTACGATCCAGTCCTAGGAGGCTGCGGTGTTTTGCACGCTACACGCAAAAATTAATTGAATTACCCCTCATTTACTTACTACATGTATTCAAGGGATCTCCAACCTTTTTTTTTTCCCCCAGAGAGCGTTATTTTCAATTAAGGTATGAGCAAACAAATAAATACATGTGGGGAACTACCAAGCGCCCCGGGAGGAGGCGGTTAACTACGCATATACAAAATTAAGTGCGCGAATATAACAATTTTACGACACCATCTGTCCAAATGTAAAATAATTAGGGTAGAATATTATATAATATATGGTACCGCACAGTGGTCTGTGTCATGTGACTAGCTTCACGTGACAGCTAATGATCAAATAATCTATCGCAGATATCCTTCAACAGCGTCTTTGTGTTGTAACCATAAAAGGGACGTCTTTTATGTGGAGATACACAGCAAGCCAGTAGAAGAAATAATTTCGCTGCTCCTGTTTGGCGCACATACGAAGAACATGTGAGACTGGCGTTACCTTCGGTTGGTGGTCGATCGCCGAGCAGTCGATTCATCCTGGGCCCCGCCTCGGCTACCGGCCCGCATGGCATCCCTGCTTCACTAGACAGCGGTGTTGATCGATGGACAGGGACGGGGCAAGATGACGGACTACGCAGAGGAGCAGCGGAACGAGCTGGAAGCCATTGAGTCCATCTACCCGGACTCCTTTACGGGTACCGTAAACATTGAGCTGAACGGCCGTTTCAGCGCGATTGGTGGATAGTCTTGCTACACGGTCGCGGTGACACGTCGGTTGGCTTTAAGGGTCCGGCACTGCCGCAGGACCGCTTTCAGTTCGGCGTCCATGCGAAACACACCCATACTAGCACCGATTTTTGGGTCCTGCAGATCACTCGCATGGGATTGGTTATACATCCATGTTACTGGGAGAGTTAAAGTGTATTGTTAGAACACACTGTGCGTTTCATCAGTTACTAATTGACGATCTCAGCCAGAATGTGAGTTACAGTAAACCTGAAAAAAGTTAACAAAGTTTTTGTTACTTGACTTTTCTCTCAACTAGAAATTCTGTTTTTTTTTTTTAAAGACAGTCCAAGAACCTTATGATGCAATTGGTAATGTGTGCGTCAGTTATTTTCTATTATTACTGGGACATGATCGGTATATGCTACAGTACAATCAAGAGGTTTAAATATAATGTATCGTGAAGCAGAAATCGCAGCGTGTCATTGTCCAGGGATCTGCTTTAATAATTCGAAATCTGTCTTCAACAGTGCTTTCCGAAAATCCCACAGCGTTCACTATCAAGGTGACTTCGGACGCTGGTGAAAACGATGACAGTGAGTTTCAATGGCCAGTAAAAAAGACGCTCTGCTGTTATCCTATTGTAATTCATCTGTATTCAAATTATACGTCTTAATCTCAGAAATGTGCAAAAATGATTTCGAGATGTCAACGCTTTAAACGTAACTTGCTAAATCCCATGCATACTGTGGGCAGTGGTGGCCTAACGGTTAGGGAAGCGCACTTGTAATTTTTGCTGGTTCAAATCCCCGACCAGCAAGGCACCACTGAGGTACTCTGAGCAAGGTACCGCCCCCAAGCACTGCTCCCCGGGTGCTGAATTAGCTGCCCCCTGCTATGTCACGATGTCACATATGGGTTAAATGCAGAGGACACATTTTGTTGTTGTGTGCTGTGGTGTGTCAGCAATGATCACTGATCACCAAAGATCATTGATCACCAAATTAAGAAATTTCATGTGTACATGTGGTAACACATTCAGATCTTTCCAGGTTTTTGCTGTTTTGAGCAAATGTCAGTATTTATTTAATTTTATCACATGGAGCTACTATTGTACCTCCAGCCCAAATGGATGTGACAGATGTACAGACTGTTATGCACCTGAAATTAAGGCATATTTTACAACAGAAACACAACTTCTAATAGAGCTATATTAATTACCGGTAGTGCTAGTACTTCTGTTATTTGCACGTTATGCATTTCATGCACCTGCATGTTACCAGTGCTGCTGACTGATGTCAGTGAGCAATGCACACATGACTATACATCAGTTTCTCTTGTCAACCCTTTAATGCTGAAAACAGCTGTAACATAGTAGTTCTATGATACATTGAACCCTAGGTAGGACTTCAGGTATCATAGAGCTTTAGATGTTTCTAAAGCAGTGGGCAGGATTTTACTGATTTTGCATGTTAACCCATTGTTTGTTCTATGTTTAGCTGTGGAGACGATACTGAAATTCACATATGTGGAAAAGTACCCAGATGAGCCACCCCTTTACGAAGTTGTCTCCCAGGAGAACCTGGAGGAGAACGATGTGGAGGACATCCTGACGTTACTGCAGCAGCAGGTCTGTGTGTTTCCTCTCCGTGCATTTATGCTCATGGATGTTTTACTCTCACAAAAATGTTCTGAGGGCAGAACAAAAAAATGATTGGTTCAAAGAGATAACCAATCAGATTGTAGAGGAGGCGGGACCTAGACATCTGAACTCCTCTACAACTGATTGGTTATCTCTCCATCATCAACCAGTCATTTTTCATTCTGCCCTCGGAACATTTTTGTGTAAGTAAAATTCCCACAAGCTGCATTTACAGCATGGCTTGTGATCAGTCTGCATTACTTCTGTAGTCTTAAATGCCCGGCTAATGGGATTGTGCAGGGCTGAACTTCTGCGGGACATGTGCCCATTGGACAATAGTGCAAGGAATAAGTGAAGGGCTCTTTGGTATCTGTTTGCCAAATCATCACTTTGTATGACTGTTGTCCCTCAGGCTACAGAAAACCTGGGCATGGTGATGGTGTTCACGCTGGTGAGCGCCGTACAGGAGAGGCTCAACGAAATCGTAGACCAAATCAAGAGCAGACGCGAGGAGGAGAAGAGAAGAAAGGAGAAGGAGGCAGAAGAAGCAGAGAAGGTCTGTATCTACGTTGCTCCTCTTTTTGAAATCATGCACCAGTTTGTATTTTTGAGCTGAGGGCCGTTAAATTGTTTGTATCCATATACATGAAATTCTGTGCTGCACTTCCCGTTTGGTTTTAATTACCCCCCCCCCCCATCATGTGTGACACAGGTGGCCTTCCAAGGTACTGTTGTGACGATCGAGAACTTCCTGTTATGGAAGGCGAACTTTGAGCAGGAGATGGCAGAGCTGAAGAGGAAGAAACAGAAGGAGGAGGAACAGGCAGGAAAGGCCAAACTTACTGGTGTGTTACACCTATTCCTGAAGCAACACTGCCATCTCCTGGATGGAGGACTGTAGTGGCTTTATAATTGGTTTTGGCATAGTAGTGTTATGTGTTTACTGCCACCTGAGATCCCCAGGGACATGAACTGCTGGTAGTATGAAATTTTACCTTCTAGTGCTAAAGAAACTGGCGGTTAGCTGACCAAAGGTTAAAATGTTAGCATTGCTCCCCAGCAGGAGTGCCGTTATTCAACATTAACATCTGGAGAGTACAGTAATGCACCAAATGTCATACTTGTTGCTTCTTATAATGAAATACTGAGGAAATGCTATTAATTTTGCATGTAATATGCAGTGTGGCTTGGTAGCACACTGGACAGATTTGCTAAGGAAATCTGATAATCTGATCTGTATTCTTCTTAAATAGGAAAACAGCTGTTTGAAAGAGACCATGACCTTGATACATCCGACATTCAGTTCCTGGAAGACGGTACGGTTAAAATAATTTTTATCGGTCTAAATATTTGTACCAAATGTCCTTTTGTGCATTCTTGAGGTCTGCCAGTTACGATACAGAATTATGCTGTGTTACTGAAATGCACTCACTCTGAGTCTCACTCTGAGTCTCACTCTGAGTCTCACTCTGAGTCTCACTCTGAGTCTCACTCTGAGTCTCACTCTGAGTCTCACTCTGAGTCTCACTCTAACACCTGCTTACTGCGTTTTTCTCCTCAGCTGGTAACAACGTGGAGGTGGATGAGTCACTCTTCCAGGATATGGATGATTTGGACCTGGATGAGGACGACCCTGACTTTGATCCTCTGGACCTGGGGAGTGACGAGGATTAGGGGTGGGGGGCTGGAGCGGAGCCTAACAGCAGGAGTCAGTCTGACCCATGTCTCTCTCCAGCTGTCTGGATCCCTGAAGTCATCCTCACCTCTGGATTCAATAGAGACTGCATACATAACACCAGATATTAAACTCAGATTTTAAGTTAGCCATTTGTCTCTTTATCCTGAAATGCCCAGAAAAGTTGGGGGGGTGGTTGTTGATTTGGCTTGGAATGCCCTTGGGGGAAGTTATGTGCAGTCTCTCTCAGATTGCCTTAGTCACTGTAGAGTTTTTGGTCCATTCAAAATTTGAGTGAATTGGCTGAAGTACACCCGATGTTCCAGCAGAGGGAGACATCGCTCTGGATGTCAGAACACAGTCTTTCCCTCAGTTTATATTAAACAAGTATTTTCTCAAAATAACGTGATTTTTTTTCCCTGGAGAGGTTGCTATGATTTAAAAGGAACATTGTGTAAAGTTGTTCATCAACGATGCATAGTGAATTCATTTTTAACTTAATTAATAATTGATTTATAAAAAAAATTCACGTGTTTGTTGGTGTGGCATTATCACTATGTTTGAATTAGTAACCTATTTGGATTTGAAGTACCAGATGAGGTAACCAGTTACTTGATGGAAACCATAAAGGAAGCTGGTTGGAGAGTTCGCTTTGAGGTTTGCTGGGAGAAGTCCCTGATTCTCTGATTCTGAGTCTGCCTGCAGGTCAGGGTGCTTATGGGCGCTAATGTTTTTAACAGCATCTACTGCAAAAAATAAGTGCAGGGAAGTGCTTGGCTAGTTGATTGCTAAATAATGACCAGATCATTTACAGAAATCTTGATAATTTGCAATATTGCAAAAAAATGAGTAATTGGTGAGTTAAAGGACTCTAACGAAAGGAGAGCGAGTCATTGATCATGTACAGGATTCTACTGATAACACAGAAGATCACAGAGACCTTCCATGGTTGATACATTGGTGCTCAATGATCTGTAGCAGTGTTTCTCCACCCAGTTCTTGGGGAGCCCCAGACAGTCTGCATTTTTACAACCCAACACACTGGTACTAGATATTCAGTGTTCTTGATTGATTGTTCGTGTGTGCTGGGAGGGAGCAAAAATATGGATCCAGAATCAGGGCTTATGGAAAACCGAGCTCTGTCCCCAGTCTGTTATTGGTTTCTGTGGTTTTGTTTCTGTATTCACTCCGTTCCCACTGGAGGCACCACTGACAGTAGGTCACACTTTCAGCTAATAGTAAGAAGCAGCAAACAATTATTCTATGTTTTCTAACAAAGCTCAGTTAAAATGTCACCTTAGGCCACTACCAATGGATCAGGGATCCCATGGGTAGATATTGGCTTTTGCCAACTTGGGGGCAGTGGGGGGTCCCCTGAATCTACCAGGATCTCCATGCCCCTTCACCATCCTGGGAGTGGGTGTACTGGGGTTTCTGTGGGGCAGTAGCTGGTGTGGTGTGAGACAGGGGACAGTGTGTCTGTCCTAACTCCTCTGACAAGGATGAAGAGAGATTAAGAACTGGGACACTGGGAAGATTTCAAATTGTTGAAAGGACCTCTGTGTCCAAACGCCTGGCATTATGCAAACTGCAGGTCAGAGGCGAAGATGATGGTAATCCTGATTGGCAAACCCTGTGCTCTTTGTGGTGGAGTGTTTTTTTCGCATTCAAAGGGGGAATCCAAGCATGTGGTGTTCCTCATGCCTGTTAGTCAAACCAAAGGGGAACTAGGAAGGGCTACGAAATCCTGTAGTGTACATATCACAAGAGAGGAACTGTGCTGCAGTTGGTGTGAAAATTCATTCCCATTGGCAGAATAACCAGGTAGGCATTGCAGCACGGGTTTATTCACACACGTTTTAATGGAATGTTCAGTAAAACGGTAAAACTACTGAAATCATGGAAACCCAGGCACCGAAGACAATGATTCCTGAAAGTTTCTGATCTGCTGCTCCCATCTTCAGAATATGATTGAGAATCACACCTGCTTAATTGGAGTTTTGAGTGTTCTGATTCATTAAGGAGACATAAAGACAATCAATGAAGTATTGATGATTATTATTACCTTTCAACCATGGGCACTAACACACAGAACTACACTCATGCCTCCCATTAATAGGGAAGGCATTGTGAAACCAATCTATCATTCAGCTTGCCTGCCGCTCCCCACCTTCATTACAGATGGCTGCTGGATCCTGGTAGAATTCTATCTACGTTAAAAGATCTTTGATGTCCCAAACGAAGCGGAGTGGCACATCTTTCATCTCCTCCTGGAACATGCGGTCAAATCTTTCACTCTGGGCCACAGTGAAGTGTGTCTTCCAGTCACCGACAGTCCCTGTACCAGGAATAAAACTTACTGATATTGTCTCCGATACCATGCAGGTCTCACCCATAGATGTGTTTTGGTGTCGCTGTTTCCTGCTCACCTTTCCTCATGAAAGTCCCTTTCTGGTGATTGAGAAATGTCTCAGGTACCCGTTTCTGGTTGACCGATGAATCCTTGCTCATGCTTTCGAAGGTGCAGTGCATCACCACATTGTCCATCTGCGAGGAGCTCAGGTCCTTCCCTAGAAAGCAGCAGATCCGCTCCACCACTGCTCTTAGATCCTGCAGACGCAAAACTGTGACTGAGAATTCCTGAGAAGACACAGCTATCCTACAACGAACAGCATGAGCTGTTGAAAAGTGGGACCCAAGACTAAACTGTAAGCATGGACATCAAGTCCAGCTCTATTCAGTTTTTTTTATGTTTACCTGGCTGTATTTGACTCAGTGAAAATTAGATATATAAATGCCAGCTATTTGTATGATTTTTAATGTATGAAATATGTTTATTAACCGTCCTATGGTGTTAGGGTCGGCTTCGACCTGTCTAACATAAGAGATAAGAACAGAAAACTAACACAGGACGAAGGTTCAAATGATATATGATGGATATACGGGGTGCACCAAAAGTAGATATACAGTTTATATTTTACATTACTGATTGGGTGATGATTAGTCTCTTAGGTGTTTGAAACGTTCTCCGCCCGTGTTGATGCATTCCTGCAGCCGGTCCCCGACACTACGACACACTTTAGCATACAAATCCAGATTAGCATCAATGTCCTCAAATGTGCAATTAACCCACTTTGTGGTGCTTCCGCTGAACAACCCTCTTCTTTATTACCCCCCCCTTTGTAAAATAAAATCTGTGTATCTACTTTGGACCCACTTTGTGTATTCCACCTGCAGATTGCCTTACATTTGTCAGGAGGACAGTCATTCATTGATATGCCATTATCTAAAAAAACATTCATACATCCTGTGCACATTCACAGAAATCGATGTGGATAGCGTGTTGCGCTTTCCCACGAAGACTTGCTTTTCAGGCTCACCTGAATCATCTCCTCGTAGGTGACGTAAAGAAAGTCCATTTCATGCCTGTGCAGGTACCAGGTCTTGATGTGCTCAAACCAATTGCTTGCAAACACTGAAATGTAAAGGGAGACACACAGACACACGCATGCATATTCTATCCTTAGCGTCGCATTACATCTGCATGAAACCGAAAGTTGCGGCAGACTGTAGACCTTTCGGTGCCCATGAGGGACATGAATCAGAAGTGCTGACTTGCTTTGCCTTTACCTTTTCCCTCCATAAATTTCTCGAAAAAGTCGTTAAAGTCCTTGGGCGTCTCCAGCATGGCAGCAAAGTTATGGAAATGAAAGTAGGAGACCAGGACATCCTTGGGGTTTCTGGCCACATAGATGACCTGAGAGCAGAGAAATGTCCCAGTGAGATTCATGATACAAACATCTTGTATCTCTATGGTCACCTAACACTGTCGTCCGAGCCTCTATTCCCCAGCACCTTGCCACGTTTCTTTGTGAGTTCCCTTGGGAGCAACTTGTAAGGTAGGTGTGAAGTGCGTAACCGAGGGGAAGCCGCAGTGGTGAACTTCTCCTTGTCGTGCAGAATCTCAATCCAGGGGACGCGTTGTGATATCAGCTGGTTGGAGGTGGCTGTGATATCTCCCTTAGCCTCAATCATACTCAGGATCTGCTGCATCCAGGTTGTTCCTGCCAGACAGGTTAGTAAGGCACAAGGGGTCAGTGAACATCTTGCTTTTGCCGAGTTCGACGTGTCCCTGAGTCAACAGAGAAGGGACTTGTGTTTCAGTTCTTTAAGCAATAAGTCTTCATTGCATGACATCACCTCAAATTCAAGGCTTCCAACCATTGAGCTAGGGTGTGTGTGTGTGGCTCAGCAGGCTAAGCCTCTGTGCCTGTGATCAGAAGGTTGCTGGTTCAAGCCTTGTTGTTATTATTATTATCATCATCATGAAATAAAGACAACTCCTTGACATTGCTCCATACAGTCTTTGCAGGTAAGCATGTTCCTATGTTTTGCATCTATGACATGTAACAAAAGGCATACACAATAAAATGGGTCTTTTGCAAATCTGGGCACCTTGCCGCTTAACAGAAAACACTGGTTTTAATTAATGTAGTGATGTCATACAACAACGACTGTGATTGGTTAAAGAAGTGAAACACAAGCCCCTCCTTTGTTGACCCAGGGACATGTTGAACTCGGAAAAATCAGGACGTGCTCAGTGTGACAGTTTTTCTGTATCATAGGGTACAATGCTATGTTAACTCGAGAAAAAATATTAACTCTATTTGAAGGGCAGTAAGGAAGAGATTTTTAACTTAGATATAAAGTCAAAGAGACAGGAACAGCATTATTTATGCTATAAAGCCACAGGTCTGTCCCATCAGCAGTTTACAGGCAACAACCAACAACCAACATCTTGCCAGTTGCTGAGACCAAGACAGCAGCATCGGCGTTCAGGTGCAGACCTGACTTTGGGTAGGACAACAAAAACACGTCCGAGTCACGGATTTCCCAGTTTTTTATTTGCTCCACCTCATCGGGAAAGTGCATCCCGGAGATTAGGTTGAAGTCTTGGAATGAAAACAATTTAAAATCTGGAGTCTCATTTTCAGGAACCGGGGCATCTGGGAAAAAATATTAACGTTGTAAGTAGCTTTGGAGAAGAGCAAATGAATAAATAAATAATCATTATCATATTTGAGAACAGCAAACTTTCTATAAAGGATTCAACTACAGATTCAAGCACGTTAACTAATATTCTTTACTTACAGTTACCAAGCATCATTTTCTTGTTAGAAAAGTTATTAAGCAGATGATTGCCTTTTACATATAGCTTGGAATGAAAGCAGTAAAACATCATGAAAACGGCAGCAGTTTCTCAGACAAAGCCTGTTCGGGTCACCCAGTGTCGGGATGACAGCATCCTAGTTCCTACCTGCCATCTCCACCAGCGACTGGTTGCATCCAGTTGCAATAGCTGGATCCCTTTGCCTTTTTAAGCAGTGAGATAATTCTAGAAGTGCTCTGGTAAATCATCAAGCTGCAGGTAAATAGGACCTTAGCCAGTTCTCAGAGAAGCCATACCATCTAAGCTAAATGACGTGACTGACACTGACCGTCCATTGTCCATCTGGAAGTTCCTTAGGTTCACCGTCTCCCTGTCCCACATAAATGGCAATCAAACTTAATCATGGTGAAAACCTAATTCATTTCATATGAATATATTTATTCAGATGGAAGCCTCAAACAATGGAAAGACCCCAAAACTTTGAATGAGTTTCTTCTCATCACTGTCATCCTCGGCCTTGTTTCTGCCGGTTCTATGGGTCTTTCCACAAAGTACACATGTCTAGACCCTCTAGCTCAAAGACAAAGTGTTACTCTGGCAGTTCTAAAATAAAACTAAAATAAAAGGCTCCCAGCTCTCTGTGATATACTGCATAATCCAATATTTCCACATATGTATACATTTTATATATATATATATATATATATATATACACACACACACACACACACACACACACACACACACACACCTAATCTTTCATAATTTTACTCACTTTATTTTATTCTGCTTCTGGTGTTTACTCATGCAAATTTATGAGACAAGGGATCGTGTTCCCTCAGTTCCTATCTTTATTGTCTCTTGTGTCTCTTTGTCTTTTATGTTAACACACACTAATTTGCCAAAAGTATTGGGACACCCCTCCAAATCATTGAATTCAGGTGTTCCAATCACTTCCATAGTCACAGGTGTATAAAATCAAGCACCTAGGCATGCAGACTGCTTCTACAAACATCTGTGTAAGAATGGGTTGCTCTCAGGAGCTCAGTGAATTCAAGTGTGGTACCGTGATTGGATGCCACCTGTGCAATAAGTCCATTTGTGAAATTTTCTCACTACTAAATATTCCACAGTCAACTGTTAGTGCTATTATGATAAAGTTGAAGCAACTTGGAGCAACAGCAACTCAGCCATAAAGTGATAGGCCACGTAAAATCACAGAAGCGGGGACAACGCATGCTGAGGTGCGCAGTGTGCAGAAGTCGCCAACTGTCTGCAGTCAATAGCTACAGACCTCCAAACTTCATGTGGCCTTCAGATTAGCTCTAGAACAGTGTGTAGAGAACTGCATGGAATGGGTTTCCATGGCCAAGCAGCTGCATCCAAGCCTTACATCAACAAGTGCAATGCACAGCGTTGGATGCAGTGGTGTAAAGCACGCCACCACTGGATTCTAGAGCAGTGGAGATGTGTTCTCAGGAGTGACGAATCACACTTCTCTGTCTGGCAATCCAATGGACGAGTCTGGGTTTGGCGGTTGCCAGGAGAACGGTACTTGCCTGACTGCATTGTGCCAAGTGTAAAGTTTGGTGGAGGGGGATTATGGTGTGGGGTTATTCTTCAGGGGTTGGGTTTGGCCCCTTAGTTCCAGTGAAAGGAACTCTTAATGCTGCAGCATTCAAAGCCATTTTGGACAATTTCATGCTCCCAACTTTGTGGGAACAGTTTTGGGATGGCCCCTTCCTGCCCCTTCCTGTTCTAACATGACTGCGCACACACACGTGACGGGTGTTTTCTATGCTGGGACTGGCACAGGGTCTCCATATTCCCTTGTGGTTTATTCTGCACCAATCTCTCCCATCACCCTGCCACCAGGATTCCCCCCTGCACCCCACACTTAAAATATATACCCAGAAAATCAAGACACCCCCCCGCAGCACAAGAAGCAGCCCGTCTATGCCAAAGAGCAAGTGGGGGAAAATAAAAATAAGTTCCAGGTAAGAGAACCCACAGAGCTGGAGAACGCTGAGCCAAGACGGGCTCAGATCACGGTACCAAACATTTCAAAGTGGGTCTCTTTCGAGGGATGGTCCTCTAACCTCTTAATGTTATGTTTTGTACTTTTAAAACAGTCTGTTCAAACATGGTGTAAGGTAAATTGTTATTAGTCTGCTAATATGATCCAAACAAGGTGCAAGCATGCTAGGTTTTAATGTAGTGCCTGTGTATCAGTATATGGAAACTGGTGCTCATCACCTTAAGACAGGACTGCAGATACACATCACATACACATCTCCCATCAGCTGACTCAGTCTACGACAACGACAGAAGTTTAGGTTGAATGATAACACTTAATCATCTACCACCATGCATGACAGACACCGTCGTAGTAAAGGATGGTGAAGCGGTCGCTGAAATATCCCACAAGGTTTGATTAATGTAAAACTTAGGCTAAGCAATGGGAAAATGTCTCTGTCCAGTGTTGCCTCACAAACTCTAGACTCCTGAATGGGTCCCAGTGATCAGCATGATCATGGACACCCTTCCGCACTTCAGAGAGCATAGACTCCGGAATAACATACTAGAGACATTTTATTCCTGACACATGGTCTTGGGACAACTTGTACAGGAGTCCATTCCTCTATGCAAATTTCTCCCTGTGCTTCATGCGTTGTGCGACAGCCAGTGACCCCTTCACTCTACCGATAATGCGTAACCCTACACAGCACTTTGTCAGTAAGCTGTCTTTCACACACCCCAAACTGCAAATATGCTGGTGTGGAGTCTTGGCCAGCAGAGACCATCTGAGGGAGATGGTCCAAGGCTGACACACAGCGAGGTCTCACACCAGACTCCCAGCCTGGACGTGCCTACTGGTCTGGCACCCCTGGTAGGCATCGACCAGACTACATGATGACTGAGACAGACAGACTTTTCACTTCTTTTCAGGGGCGCAGGAAGACTGAACAAAGGACCTTTCCTACTACGCCAGGCAGAAGAGTCTTGGTTTAAGCCACAGGGTTGTTTTCTGTTAAATCAGAGAATGTGTGGCCAGTGATTGACCTTGTCACATACTGAATTCAGGACAGTTCAATCAATTTGCACTCATCTTGGTTACAGTCTCTGCCCTTTATATACATACTGCAACATGGCCATGGAGAATATCTATTCTCACCCCTGTATGCTATGAATTGCATATACAGTCGCTGAAAAATAATGAAGAGACCACAGCACAATTTTTTTGTTTCATTCATTTCTCAATTTATGTGTCTGTGAATGTTTTATTTTTGCAAACTGCAGCCTGGTTCTTCCCCGCTTCTCATTAAAGAAGGGCTTCTTCTTTGCGTTATGGTTCATCAGTCCTACTTCTAGAAGCCTGATACGATCCTGTCCTAGCAGTGCACTTCACACCTGAAATTAATGTTTCCCACTCCTTTTGAAGGTCGCTTGAGGTCAGTATCAATACATCGTAATGTGTGATACTACTAATAATATAGCTATGGAAAAAATGAAGAGACTGTCTATATCTTTAAATAAATCTGCCTTTTTACATCCTGGTTTAATCGTGGTTCTGCTGGTAGAAGGTTATGCTGAGCAACAGGTTGCTACCAAGGAAGAAGCCCTTCATTAATGAGAAACATGCTGCAGTTTGCAAAATGATATATATATATATATATATATAGATTTATATATATATAGATACAGGAACCTCTCCAACCCTGACCAGCACAAGACGTTAGAAGATGGAGCGAAAACATCCAACATGACTGATTAACAGAACCAATACATGGTGAACCAATAAGGGAAAGCATGGTGTGAAATCCAGAGAGAGATCACATCAAAGAGGTGTTTATGCTGCTAGATTTACCTTTTAATGAAACATGTCGTTAACCAGTTCACTTATTAACAGAGGAGTCATGTTCCACAATAAATGAGGTTGATACTGTTCTACCCACTTAACAGAGCGGCAGAAAACAACGAGAAAGAAGGAAAAACTGACAAGGCTACAAAACTGGGGAGAGGCTTGTGTGTGGCATCACCGAAATGCAGTGGGGAGCTTTCATAGCGCCTCATGTGTCTGCTTAGCTTATTGCATAGGGTTTTGCCCACTGGCTGTGAGATTCTGAGCAGTGATGGCTTATGCAGTGATGTACGGCCACAGAACTGCACCCGCCACCAGCATTGGGGCTGAGTTTTCAGAGAGAGACAGGCAGGAAAAGGCGGGTCAGCAGTGTCCTCAACCCAGTGATGCACAAACGAGGCAGAAGGCGCAGTGATGCCTTTGGGGCAGTCAGTGACCAGCAGCAGCTGCTCACAGAGGTGAGGTCAGGCACACTACAGGCAGCCAAACGGGTGGCCCACAAGTCTGCAGAACTTCACATTAAATATTACTGCTGAATAGTAAAAGCATGAGAGCTTAGGGTTTAGGTAAAGGTGACAAGATTCATTTATTTAATTTAAAAACACACACAAACACACTGATTCGTGTATATACACAGTCCTCAGCTTAGCCCTTTCTGGATCACTGAATCCTCTCTGCACGCAGTGTTCTTGAGTTTATGATCTGTGTCTGAAAACAAAGAACAATATTTCAGGGACAAAGGACATTGCTGGCTGACAGCGCTGGAATCTCGGGGTGTTGACCCTTAACCAGCAGGGATGTGCTTACCCGCTTCTCCTCTGGAGAAAGTACTCCCTCTACGGCAACTATCTGGTACTGTTTGTGCGCCAGGAGACTGGGAACCTTGCGAAGGGAGCGCAGGGACGTGGCTGGAATATTTGAGCACGTTATGCGTCTCATGTCCTCTGGGGGGCACCCTGGGTCAAAGAGCAGGAGACAGAGACTACCGTTCCTCCTCTGCTCTATTCCCACAATGGAGCGACTGTGGCCTGGACAGGGAGAGAGAGAGAGGCATCTCACTTGCTTATTTTAATCAGGAAGATTTGAAGGCAAACGTTAAACCGAACACCTGCCTACAAACCCTCGGGGAAGGAGTGCACATACCTTGGTGCTGTAGATAAAGGGGGGGCTGTGTGGTTTTGACCACCCGAGGGGGCAGCTTAGCACCCCTGCTGGCAGAGTAGGAAAAGTACTTCTTGACCCATTCAAAGAGATGAGGGTGGGTGTTTTTGGCACCACTGGGCTGGGGGAAGTCCACAATGTGAGCCCTACCAGCATAAAAGGGTGGACGTCAGGACAGCCAATCACAACCCACACAGCAGGTCAGCCCTCACCATGGCAGCCAATCACATAATAGGACATGGGGTAGAAGGCCTTTAAAGTGATTTAAGAACCTCTCACCTGATTCCAAGGGAAGTGAGGAGTGAAAATATTTCTGTTGCTCCAATCCAGGCTCTTGTTCCCTTTAGGCAGTTACTGAACTGTGATGCACCCTGGGGGTCCACTCCTTGCTGCCAGGCCTCCTCAATCAGGGCCTGCACACGTGGGATACTGGGGACTCTCCCAACTATCAGGTAACAGAAGTAAATCGTATGACAGAATCAGTATGTGTCATGTGACCACACTCACAAAGCAAGATGAGGTATAACATGTCAGAGTTTGCCTACCGTGTGGCACTGTACAGACCTGAGACACATGGTGCGTATAGCTGCATATTCTGCAGAGACGACTGCAGCATCTGGAAGTTTCTGTAGCCACAACCCCAGCCCCGGTCACCTTCTGAACACGAGTAGTGATCGGTTTCTGCACTCAGCCACACGTGAACGACGTCATGACCCTCCCTGACATAGTGCTCGTAGAGGGCTGACATCACGCCTGGGGGGGGAAGGGAGGGGTTAAAAGTGACCAGAAATGCTGTGCACTTACTGAGTTACTGCTAAGGATATAACACACAAAACAGCAAGTGGTCAGACCAGTAATCCAGTCTCCATACCAGCTGTTCTGGTCTTGCAGTCGTCTATTCCTGATGCCAGGCTTTCCATCATTTCAGCCTTCTTCCTGTGGAACTCGACTGGGGTCATGTGACCGCGGGACACCGCCCTCTCCATGCTCTTCTCCGCCTGTCGGACATAGCCCCCACTGCCATCGAGGCCAAACTGCCTCTGCAGGGGAGGGGACAAAGGCACAGCGAGGACCAATTTCACAACATGCATACAAATCTTCTGACCTAGAGGCAGCTGCTTATGCCAAACCTTGGTAGATCATATATATATATTAAATATGCATATATGTAATTACACATAATTACATATATACATAATTATAAAAATTAAGAGACCACAGCAAAAAATTCTGTTTCACTCACTTCTCAATTTGTGGGTGTGTGCCTGTGTAAAATATATATATATATTTTTTGCAAACTCCAGCCTGGCTCTTCAATGCTTCTCATTGATGAAGGGCTTCTTCCTTGCAATATGGGTCTTCAGTCCTGCTTCTAAGAGCCTGATATGAACTGTTCTAGCAGTGCACTTCACACCTGCAGTTAATGTTCCCCATTCCTTTTGAAGGTCACTTGAGGTCACCCTCCGATTCATGGGGCACTGCTGGATAAGCCAACAGTCATCTCTGGCATTAGAAAGTTGCTTGGCTGGTTTTTGGTTATTGCCAGTCTCTCCTGCTTCACCTTATTCTTGTGTACTGCTGTCTTAGAAATTTTGAGTCTGGAAGCAGCCTGCCTCACAGTGTAGCCTCTGCCAGCAGAGCCAGGTTTAAACCAGGACTTAAAAATACAGATGATTTTTAAAAAATATATAGAGTGGTCTCAATTTTTTCCAGAGCTGTATATAACTGGGAGGTGTTGTGGTCCATGCCAAGTGAAGAGACTGGTCATGGTAAGCAGTGACCTGCAGCTTCCTGAAGTCCTCTGCTTCTCGTTTGGACTCCTCCATCTTTAGTCTCAGCTGCTCTTCCTCCTGAAGCTCTCTAGCCAACTGCAGGTCAGAACCAGAAGATTCTGGAAAGCAGCAGAAGGAACACTGGCTACAGAGTAGTGAGCGTTGAGGGTGTCCCCTCTTAACCCCGAGCCGTAAGGATCATTTCAGGTACCTCTGTCTGCATCTTGCTCCTGCAGGTGCAGCTCAACATGCTCCTGTAAGACAAACCGGTCGCTGCACACCAGGGCACACATTGGACACGTGTACGACTGCTCTGAAACACAAAATCAGCATCATCGACATCACTATCAGAATCTCACTGGCGTTCAGATCTCTGCACAGATGCAGCTCTAAAACACACCGACTGCTCCTACCTTTCCCAAGGGAAGTGCAGACCCTCTTTGGGTCAGGTGCTTCTTGGGTCCTTGAACCCCCCAATACTGGGCGCTGTGGATTCTGCATGGCTTCAGTAGCAGGTTTTTTGGCACTCTCTTCCAAAGATGGAACATGCCGCATTCTTTCAGGTGACCCCCTCTCTGGGACTCTGACACCCTCTGCTATACATCTGCTGGACAAGGCACCTGGTTGACCTTTATTCTTGTCCACCTCGACCTGCTTCGCTTGTGCCTGAGTGTCAGTCTCTGGATGAGCAGTGTTAATGTGAAAGTGAATCTCATCATAAGATAGCCCGGCTATCGGACAGAGCGGGCAGCTTATCTCCCTCTCCAGGTGGCTCAAGAGCAGATGAGTCTTCATGTCCTCTTCCAGCAAGGCCTCTTCGCCACAGATATCACAGACCAACATGACGACCTGAAACACAATGCGCTGTTTAGATTTTACGTTTATAACCTTCCCCGATAGGAACGCATGAACTTCTAGCAATTAAACATGGAGTTTAGCACTCCTAGAATAACACACAGCTTGGTCCTCACTCCTGAATATGCTGGGACTGACTGTGTATGCTAACCATGCTAACCGGTAACTTGTCTGTTTACAGACCGTTAACACAGGCTGAATGACACAGGGCATAAAAGAGCTGGCTTAGGACGGAAAAGCGCTGGAGATAGAAAAAGGTATGCAGGTAAGAAGAGATAGACAGAACAAGCAACTTGACATTTTAGACAAATATCTAATACTATGAAAATACTTATTACACTGAAAAAGTAGAAAATATATGCGCCAAACTACCTTTTAATTTCCCAATTATTGTATTGCCAATTTTATTAAAATAATCTGAATTACTAAAACCGGCTAAATGCTAAAAGCTTCTCCTTCTAGTTTAATTACCAAGTCCCTCGCTCCAATTGGTTGACGGGGCCGGAAGTAGTGTTTTTCAGTTTTTTTTTAAACGGAAGTGAGTCTTCTAAAGGCGGAAATAAATGTGTAGCCGCGTGACGTTTGAGTGGCTGTTCGTTGCGAGGGCAGCTGGGATACCTGTGACGGATCTAGGGGGTACGCCATATTGTTCGCGAAACTGTGGGAACTGGCGGAGGTTGCCGCAAGGAAACAGGGTTACTTACGGGGATTTTTTTCATTGAATGGGTAAGTCGAGCTTGACCGTGGGTTACTTAACCACCTCGCGGCGCTTTGGGAAGCTGTACCTGGACCCTGTTTAATCGAGGCACCGTGTATTTGGACAGGGCCGAGAGGAGGAAATGAAGGGGGTGTGTGGGGGGGGGAGCAGGGCTGCCAAATGCCGCCTCCGCGTTTAACTAGTTAGTCTGCTTACCCTGTGGTTACTAGGGAGTAAAGACTGCCGGTCCAAAGATTATCTGGCAGCGTTTGAGGTCTGGACGGTAGATTACCGGGGACTGGGGTGAAAGTCTGGAGCATGAAGACTTGTAGACTGGTTATGCTAAGCTGTTAATCTGTCAAACGACGCGGGTCACATACTGTCCCTGTTTTCGTGGTTTCATGTAGGGGCGAGGGGCGTGTTCTCATTTAGTGATCGGTAAAGCTGATCAAACAGACTTTTATTTTAATGTGGATCAGATTTCTTGTCGCCCTTCTAAACATAATACTAAGAAACCGAACGCACTGTTAATATACATATTTTGTTGGATAATCCCTTCAATGTTGTCCGTATTAAAAGCAGGTGATGCCACCTTTGACACTATTTGATGCCTCAGTACCGACTGCTTCATAGGGGAAAGGAGGCTGCTTTCTGTTGGTTTACTTTCCTTATGCTCACTTCTAGTCACCATGGCAAGTCCAGTGAATGACAACTACCGGATGAAGAGCTACAAGAACAAGGCCCTGAACCCCCAAGAGATGCGGAGACGCCGGGAAGAGGAGGGCATTCAGCTCCGCAAGCAGAAGAGGGAGGAGCAGGTAAACAAGGGCTTCTTGTGGCCCTGTGTGACTGTTGTTGTGTAGGGTGGTGTCCTTTGGCCTCGAACCCGAGGGTGGTGAGGATGGCGTGATCTCATTTCTGAAACTGTTATCCATGCATTGTGTCATGGGCGTGAATTCCTATTCTGCTGCATTTTTCGGTTGCTTTTTAATGGCTTTTTAGAGATCCCAAGCATATGCTTTCCTCTGGATTTATATTTCACTATTCTTATACTGACCTTAGACTTAAACCTTACTTGCAGCTGTTCAAGAGGAGAAACGTCTCCCTTCCCGCTGGAGATGAGTCAATGCTGGAGTGTCCCATCCAGGACCCTGATGTCAGCTCCACTGTGCCTGTGTCGGGTGTAAGTATCCCTGCCCCATGTCCATGTGAACGAGGGAGCTGCTGACAGTGACATCATACCACGCTTTGGTCGCTCTCTCTCAAAGGCCCATTGGTCAGCAGTGGGTAGCACTTTCCTTTGCTTGTCTTGTTCAGCAATGTGGTGTTTTTTCTGGCAGCCATGAAGGAACAGCTTGGGTAATTGTGTGTGTGTGGGGGGGGGGGCATTCCAGGAGGGTGTCATAACGCCCGACATGATCCAGATGATCTTCTCTGATGACCCAGACCAGCAGCTCATCGCAACACAGAAATTCAGGAAGTTGCTTTCCAAAGGTATGGGGGTTGTTCTTCACCCTTGTTATTGATCTGTTTTTTTAATGGTTGTTTCTCTGCACACTGAAATGTGGGTAATTTAAGAAGTGCATTGTGAGTTCTTATGGTGTTCTGCCTCCTTTCCTGCTCAGAGCCCAACCCCCCCATTGATGAGGTCATCTTAACACCTGGCGTGGTCAACAAGTTTGTAGAGTTTCTCAAGAGGAGTGAGAACTGTACTCTGCAGGTATGTGTGTGCAGGGTGTCCGTTTCGGTGCCCTGAGTGTGAATCTCTGCCGTGTCCCCATCCCTGAGATATGGGACGTGATCTTTGGTCCGGTCTGTTCCTACGACATGAGCGTGATGTGTTTCTGCCTCGTTCCCCATGCCCCACCCCTTCTTCCTCATGGCAGTTCGAGGCAGCCTGGGCCCTTACCAACATCGCCTCGGGCACCTTTCTCCACACCAAGGTGGTAATTGAGACGGGAGCAGTGCCCATCTTCATCGAGCTGCTCAACTCAGACTATGAGGATGTGCAGGAGCAGGTAAGGGGCAATCTGTGTGTGACCGAGGGCCTGCCAGCAGGCCTGCAGTGACAGTGATTTGTCGATGGTGTTTCAGGCAGTCTGGGCTCTGGGCAACATCGCTGGTGACAATGCAGAGTGCAGGGACTATGTGCTGAATTGTGGAATCCTGCCATCTCTCCTGCAGTGAGTTATGTCTCTGTTAGCTGAGCTCTTAATTATTTTTGAGTACAATTAGACGCTCAACTTAAGTGAGAAGTGAAACTGGATGTGACATGAGTCAGGAGGTTTTAAGTGAACTTACTCTTCAGTTATTAATTTAAGTGAGGAGATAAAGATGAGTAAAGGAACATTGATAGTTTTAACCTTGCAGGCACTTTTTCGATGGACCAATTCAGTAAAGTACAATGTAATAAAATCCCAGCCCGTGGTTCTGTTTAAGAGCGACGGCGCAGCTATCAGAATCACGTATTTCCCCATGACCCAAATGTTCTGTCTGCCCTTCAGGCTGCTGACGAAATCCAGCCGGCTCACGACCACGAGAAACGCGGTGTGGGCGCTCTCCAATCTGTGCCGGGGGAAAAACCCCCCTCCGGATTTCAGCAAGGTGCTATTCCCCCTTCTGAGGCCTCCCGCTATGAAACAGGGTGGAATTGGGTAGCTATGATGAAGCCAACTTAAGTTAAAAGCTTCCGGCCACTCAAGACCAAATCTAGGTTCAAACCCCAACATTCTGTATTGTTTGTGTTGGTGGTGAGACTCAGATCACAAGTGCCCCATGTTCGCAGCATATGTTGGATATTCTTCTCCTTGATTACTCTGTAGTGACACCTACAGGACTGGGGTTGAAATGGCGTGGAAGCTGCCATGTTGTGTGAGTGCTCTATCACTATGTGGCCCGCAGGCCGTAGAGCGACGGGAAACAGGTGGCTAACCTCACACATTGCAGGAGGAGTGTGTCAGCTGTTGTGGGCCTCATCTGCTGGGGGGCAGCTATAAATGGGATGAAGATTCTGTAAATGCCAGAAGGTGTGGGTGGGAAAAGCCACACCTGCAGTGGCTGATGGGAAGTGAGTGACATGACGCTACCTTGTCCCCTCCCCGGCAGGTGTCCCCCTGTCTCAGCGTCCTCTCCCGGCTGCTCTTCAGCAGCGACCCCGATGTTCTGGCCGACGCCTGTTGGGCGCTGTCGTACCTGTCGGACGGACCCAACGACAAGATCCAGACGGTGATAGACTCCGGCGTGTGCAGGCGCCTGGTGGAGCTGCTCATGTAAGGTGGCGTGGTGGGAGGCCGGTGAAGCAGGGTCTCGGGGGGGGGGGGGCCTTCACTCTTAAAACCGTCTCCTCCATCCCTCAGGCACAGCGATTACAAGGTGGTCTCTCCTGCCCTCCGAGCCGTCGGCAACATCGTCACGGGCGATGACGTCCAGACTCAGGTTGTCCTGCTCGCCTCGTTGTCCAGTCGACCTGACCTTGTTTTTCGGTCCGTCTCTGTCCCGTGTGCAGTGTGATCCAGTCCTCCGGGCACCACGAACACTGACAGATTTAGCTAGTCAGAAACGAGTCATGTTTTAGATTGGATTAAATTAGGCAAAGTTTCTTTCATTCCCAGTGGCAAATTCTCGTGCATGCGGCAGCAAGTACGTTGTATACGTGTAGTACAAAATAAACGAAGGGCAAATGAGTAAATGTCATGTGGACAGATCAAAAAGTGCAAGGTACACAAATGGCATCCTGAAAGACTTAACGTTTCATCCTGATTGCGGAGTGATCGCTGCTTTCCTGTCTGAGATCGAGCCAGAGCGAACGCGTGTCATGCGTGTGCGTGTCGCCCGTCTGAGCGTGTGCGTGCGCGTCCACAGGTGATCCTGAACTGCTCTGCTCTGCCCTGCCTGCTTCACCTGCTCAGCAGCCCCAAAGAGTCCATCAAGAAGGAAGCCTGCTGGACGGTGTCCAACATCACAGCTGGTAACAGGGCGCAGATCCAGGTCCGTCCCGCGTCCATCCGCCTGCCCGTTTCCCCCAGTTGTCCGTGCTTGACCTCAGCATGCTGTTTCCTCAGGCCGTGATCGACGCCAACATCTTCCCGGTGTTGATCGAGATTCTCCAGAAGGCCGAGTTTCGTACGAGGAAGGAAGCGGCCTGGGCGATCACAAACGCCACCTCCGGGGGCACACCTGAGCAGATCAGGTACCAGCGGGGTGTTGGAGTTGCTGATTGGCTGGACACATGTATAAAGGTCTTTAGGTTGTCGGAACTGGTGTGATGAGACTTGGCATTTAGGAGGCAGCCCCCTGAAAAGTGTATCTGGGGTTCTGTGTATGACTCGGTGGATTAGGCCTCCGTGCCTGTGATCAGGGGGGCGCTGGTTCGAGCTCCAACCTCTGCCGAATAGTCATGTCTCTGTTGGATCCTTTACCAAGGCCCTTAACTCCACCATAATGCTCTAGGAGTGCCGGATAAATGGCCTGACCTGCGTATATGTCTCAAAAGGGAGCAAGTTGGGATATGTGGAAAATCAGCCTCGTGCAAATGGCAAATAAAGGATCTTTTGTCATTTCCTGTCCGCAGGTACCTGGTGTCCTTGAATACCATCAAGCCTATGTGTGACTTGCTGACAGTCATGGATTCCAAGATAGTGCAGGTGTCCCTGAACGGCCTGGAGAACATCCTACGGCTGGGGGAGCAGGAGGCGAAGCAGAACGGCACGGGCATCAACCCCTACTGCGCTCTCATCGAGGAGGCCTACGGTAAAGACGCGCGCTTCTCTGCCTCTGCGTGGCCGCGGCTCCGTCCCACAGCAGCCGGCATCCATCTCGGAAAGCAATCATCTTTGATTTAGTCGTGATGGCATGGTTGAAATTCAGCTAACCACCAATGTTCAGAATGCACGGTGTATAAAAGGAGGATACGTTCCTACACATGCTGCATCTGGTGCTCCGAGTTCTCCTTCTGGAATGTTCCGTCCATGTCGACATGAGAGTTCACGTCAGTGAGCCCAGCTTGCCCCAAAGGGATCCGCCTGGGCTGTTTGGCGCTCATCCTGTCTTAACGGGGGGGGGGATGTTTGTTCTCTTCATGCTTGCAGGTCTAGACAAGATCGAGTTCCTGCAAAGTCACGAGAACCAGGAGATCTACCAGAAGGCCTTCGACCTGATCGAGCGCTACTTCGGGGTGGAGGAGGAGGACGCTAACTTGGCCCCACAGGTGGACCAGAACCAGGCGCAGTTCATCTTCCAGCAGTCCGAAGGTCCTGTAGGAGGCTTCCAGCTCTAATCGTCCACCCTCCCCCTCCCCCGGAGACCCCGCGAGAGTCTGACGCCATCGCCTGGATACATAAACTCCTTTCAGCATCTGCCTGCCCGGATCTGCTGCTTTCCCCGAGTGCACTGCGACGCGTGTGGCATGCCTAGGCCATGGCGTGGAGTCCCCCCCCTCCCTTCTTGTTCTGTAACTGTGATGCTGGTTCCCCAGACTGACCTCCCCCACCCCCACAGCCCCTAACAATGTGAACTACCTCGATAGTCAGTCCGCGGCCGCAAAGCCGTCCTGCGCCGGCCTGGTTTTGCGGTCCGAGCTCCGTCTGGGACGAACGTACCCGAGGTGTGGATGAGCGAATGTATTCGTGGTAGGAGATGCTAAACTATACCCGCATTTTACATCACTTACAGTGTGAAAATGTGCGTTTCTGTGGGGCTCCTGTTGATAATCAAGCTGTGAGTCCTTTAGGGCCGGCTTGGCCCTCGCCGGAGCCCTGTGTCCCCTCTGGCTGTAGCTGATGGTCTGCGTGAACGTCCAGGGTGACGTCAGGGCGGCCCGCCTGCCCCCTCTTATTGGAAAGCCACTGGCATCCTGTAGGAAATCGCGGCTCTGTGGTCGGGTGACAAAATCAGCTGGAATGAGCTTAAAGCTCATGCTTTAGTTAAATGTGGCTGGAGATCTACTATGTATATTATATATAGGCATATTGTATATTTAAAAAAACAAATGTGTGAAAAGCATATATACAACAGCATTACGTGTGGGATTGTGGCTCAGCAGTAAGAAGACCTGGACCAAGGTGTGTGATGCTGCAAGTCTAGTTCCACGCTCCTTCATCACTTATTTAAATGTTCAGACCTGCCCCTACACACTTGCTCCTGCGGGGCGGCTGTAACTCAATGTTTGGTTCTGTTGACCTTTACTCCCGTGTGCAAAAAGCGAACCTGAGCTGGACCCTTTGACCCACGGCAGTCCGAAGGAAAACGAAAAGTAACTGTATTGCGTTAAGAGCTACACTCCTAAAAGCAGGAGCCATCTTTGGAGAAGTTAACTTTCTTTTGTTTGGTTTTTTTGCAGATGCATTAAATACTGTAGGTTGGCTGATCAATGGGGGGGCGTGGCTTCATACGACACAAAAGTGATTTGTAAATCGCTGCTCATGTGGACTGGTGTATAGTTTTGTAATTGTCTGTCTGTACGCTGTGCTGGTTGGCCGTCCCATGGGGACGGAGCGTGCTGGCTGGCCGGGACCTCAGCCGCCGCACGGCGTCGAGCCCATCCGCTGACGCGTGGCTGTCGTTCTGCTCTGTCCAGAAGTGCCGCTGGTCTTCACCTAAGAATGTTGAGGCTGGAAAACCAGGTTCAGGAAATAAACAGTTCTGCTACAAAGGGTCTCTGATTATTTTTATTTTTAAGTATCCTTTCCTGAATGGTGTCTTAAAATTATATCAGGTAAGTACTATTCTAGAGTTTTGGCCGCACTGATTTTCAAGGAGCTGGAGGTGACGACCCTGGACCATTAGTGGTAGGTTCTTAAAGTGGCCTGGTGTGTGATGTGAGGGTGTTTGATCAGGTGCTCATTGTTCATGTCTCCCAGGTGACAGACGGTGCCTTTTTTTACTGCTGGTGAGGCTTGTCCAGTTAGGGTTCAATCTACTCTGTGCTTAAAGTCAGCCAAGGAGTTAGTAAGACAGTGTGGATACTGGATCTGTTGTCTCTATTGGGGCAACAAAGGGAAATCTCTTTCATGAATGTATAAAACTGCTGTGATTCTTGCCTTTTATATCAGAATTATTTATCTCCAAGTACTTTTACGTACAAGGAATTTACTTTGGGGTGCAAAACAAGGAAAATCAACAATATAATAAATGATGTTCATAAATATTCCCTCATACTTTGTTGCAAATGCAGGTTCTGATCACAGGATCTTTCAGTGAGAAGGACGTTCAAGGTTTTCAGCATGTATGATTATGCTTTGTGTGTCTGTGACCAGGGACTCTGTGATTCTGATCCTGCTAATCACAGACAATCCACATGGACGAGCTGTTTTAATAACGGGGTGATGTCCACGTCCTGTTCCCTGCTGTTCTGCTCCAGACGTGCCCCAAGCTGGATTCTCAGGGTCATGCTTTCACATGGGCGGGACTACTATCAAAACGCTCTGCTCCAAAACCGGCACTGGCTTCTAGCAGCAAAAGGATGCATTTGCCCATTGCATGCTGCAATATCCTTGAGGTGAATTACACTTGTAGTAGGCAGTAGGCAGGAAAACTGCTCCGTGTTTGACAGAAGCACCGTCTCTTGTGTCTATAACAGTGCATCACTGGCACTTGAAATGGGAATGAGTTTAATGGTGCTGCTGTTTAAGATATAACAAGCCGAATCATGAAAGCCCTTAAACTTGCCATCAGATGATCCCCTCTGATGTTTGCTTTTCTCTTTAACGCTGCTGCTTCTCGTGGACGCTGAGCGGAAGTGATCCGGCGGGTCGTGACACGTTTATGAGGTGACACCGGCATCGCGCTCTTGTCCCGTGCGGAGCTGGACGGCAACAGCTGCTATTCCGGGGCCGAGGGATAATGCGTGTGCCCGGCTGCGCCGTCTGGAGCGGTGTGACGGAGACAAGGGGCATGTGAGTCTCACGGCAGCTAAAAATAGCGCCAAAGTCACTGCCAGCAGGTTCCATTGAGGTGTGTCGCCCTTTAATAGCCTGTGAAATCGGTTGGAAGCCTATTTGGTGGGAGACAGACGCACAGAACAGTATTGAATTGTAGGCAGGAGGTCCAGCCTGATTCTGAGTATCTTCACTCCTGCTCTTCCTATGGGTTCTGTCCTCCACCCCACCCTGTGATATGGTCTGTATACCCTGTTTCCTCCACCCTGTGATATGGTCTGTATACCCTGTTTCCTCCACCCTGTGATATGGTCTGTATAGCCTGTTTCCTCCACCCTGTGGTACGGTATATACACGTTGCCTCCTCCAACTTCTGATGCAACCTGCCCACCCTTTTTCCTCTACCCCCTATTACAGCCTGCACAGTCTGTCACCTCCATCCTCTGATCCAGACCACGCCCAGTCTCACCCCACCTTCCCGGGGCATTTCTGAGGCATCTCCTCACTGGCACAGACCAATGTGAAACAGAGTCGGTGGTGTCGGCTGAAATGCTTCTTTTTTTTTTTTTTACTTCTCCATTGCCTGATTTGTTCACAGAAATTGATTGGCTCACAGAATTCACTCCACATGTCACATGGTCTTATTCATGGCATATAAGGAAATGCTAAGAATGCCTGATGTAATATTACATCATTCTCTAATCTCCTTACATCTACAACTGTCGGAGATCGCCAGCAAAGATATTGGATTTCGCAGCTGGGTTCTCCTGAATTTTATGCTACCCTGCATGTTTAAACACATCCAGTACCCCGTCAGAAGAGCTGCCTTTCAGATTACTGAGTGAAAACCTCAGACATTGGGCGACATCAACTTCTATCATAAAAGTTTGTTTCTTTCTTTTTGCACTAAAAAGTTTGAAGCCATGCACTCCACCCCCAGCCGATATCTTGCCTTAGAAGCTTCTGTCTGAAACCTTTAATCAGCTCTGGAACCTTGGGATGGTGAAATCTTTTCTGTTGCGATCATCTGTGAATGAACCTTTCTGCTTGACTTCAAGGGCTTTTGTACCATTCACCATTGTTCCTGAGGATGAGGCTCCTCATTGAATAAAGCTCCTTGGTTGGCTATGTTCTGTGCTGAAATAATAAAAAAAAAAAAAAATAATATTCTAACGTTAATATTCTAATGGCAGTGAAATCACTACCGTCTTTAAAAGGTTTAGCCACAAGGGGGCACCATCACTCTGTATTCTACAGCCTCCACGTCTTTCATAGTGTTACCGGAGGAATGGATTTGACCCAAAATCCATGTTAGGGCTACCTCCAGCATGCAGGAAATCGCAAAAGCATTTACGCACAAACAACGACCCATGGATGCTCAAACTCATGAGAACATCCAAAAGCAAAACCTATTAAAATGGAAAAAGGCCATCAGGGCTCATCGTTTAAATGTTTAACGACTTAATGTTGGCAGAAGCTTATCTTCTGCTGACGTGAGAGCCACCACCACCACACTATTAGGAAACATATTCCAAACACCACCCTAATTTGTTTACTGTAATGCTTTCTTTGTAAATTGGACTCAGCTGACGTTATGTAAGCCACTCTGGCTTTTGTATGTCCTTCTTGGTTGCTTTTGTCTGAGACGCTGTTAACTTTTTAAAGGCCCCCAGCTGAACTCTCTAAATCACGCACAGTCTCGCTACGAGAAGAGCGAAAGCCTTCATTTTGAATTTGCATGGCTGTTCTTTGACGTTGACGTTCAGGATCCCGGAAAAGATGAATTTATACCATACATGTGGGTTCCGGAGCTCTTTAGGAGGAAGATCAGGCAGTGGTGAATGAATCATTTTTTTGTTTTTATAGGAAGGAATTAAATTTTCATGTTTTCCTGCCACTTGTCTTACCACAAAATTAAATAAAAGGCAATGCATCACCAAACTAAATGTAGCCTGTCTCAAAATGTTTACCCATAAGACCTCAGATAACATTTAGTTTACATGTATTTTGGTTATCTGCTTGACTCTCTTTCTGTCAGTGTCCCAGTAAGCAAACCAGCATTTCTATTCCTTGTCTTGGCTGGTTTGCCTCTGCGTTCAGTCCAGTTTTATTGTCACTGACTGCCCTTAGAAACTCTGGCTGAGCTCAAAGGTTGCCCCTATTCCCAGCCCAGGCCTGGCCCACTGTTACTGGTGCCAGGTAATAATGGGCTTGTGTTTAACATCTCCTGTCTCGCCAAACCAGGCTACGCTCCCATCACAGCAGATAGTGAAGGGAAATACGACTGGGATGTACAAACATTAAGGGTAAAATTGGTGTTATTTACACACTGTTGCTGGAGAATCTGCTCTCTCCTGTTGTCAGCCAGCTAAGACCTCCCACCCTAAGCCCAGCACCCCGTGCCTCTTCTCCTGATCTTTCTCTTGAAAATCTCTAACAGCTGGATTGAGGGTCTGCATTAGTTGGCGTGATAGTTAGTAGTAGGAAGTTATATAAGACTTAGAAAAGAACACTAGTGTTTCGCTGTGTAACAGCTGGTGTGATCATTTCCAGCAAATGGGCCCAATTCTCTTTAATCCTGATTTATATACAGTAAGACCAGCCGGACTTTCATTTGATATTATCTGTGTCGGTTTGGGAATTCCTGTCATGGCTTCCTGGCAGAGCTGCTGATCCACAGTGGGCTGACTGACCCTCCAAGATGCCAAACCTCAGGGTTAGCGCCCCCCCCGACTGGTGATCAGTGACCGCCAACACGCTACAGTGGTATGGAGTCATGTCTGTTGCCTGTCACTTCTTTTTTCTGCTGTTCACGTGCTTTATTATGTAACCACTTCTGGTAAGATGCTAACCTGTCAATTCCATTTGGAATTCTCTTGATCCTTCCCTCAATGAGTAGGGTGATGTCACTGTCCTGGCTCACGCTAGGAATGTCCATATAGCCAAGGAACAGTGAAACTGTGAAAACCTCACCTAAAATACTGTCTAATCTAAAGTGAAGACATCATATGCAATATGCATATACATCATGTACAATCCAATGTGATGACCTCCCCTTATATACTCTCCAGTCCAATGTGACGATCTCACCTAAAATTCTCTTCAATACAATGTGAAGATCTCCCTAAAATATTCCCCAACCCAATGTGAAGATCTCACCTAAAATGCTCCCCAATCCAATGTGAAGATCTCACGTAAAATACTCCCCAATCCAATGTGAAGATCTCACCTAAAATGCTCCCCAATCCAATGTGAAGATCTCACGTAAAATACTCNTGTGAAGATCTCACGTAAAATACTCCCCAATCCAATGTGAAGATCTCACCTAAAATGCTCCCCAATCCAATGTGAAGATCTCACGTAAAATACTCTCCAATCCAATGTGAAGGTCTCACGTAAAACACTCCCCAATCCAAATGTGAAGATCTCACCTAAAACACTCCCCAATCTAATGTGAAGATCTCACGTAAAATACTCCCCAATCCAATTTGAAGATCCCACATAAAATACTCCCCAATCCAATGTGATCTCACATAAAATACTCCACAATCCAATGTGAAGATCTTACCTGAAATGCTCCAGTAGGAAGACCTCATCAAACCTCAATAATAATTTGAATATAAATATCATATAAAAAGAAATAGAAATTCACAACCATTTTGAATCAGGACAATTAAACAATTTTGAAGAATCATGGAATGGAATTTAGAATGAGTAGCAATATCTACTTGGTAATAATTGTATGTTTACCTGTATTCTTACATCAGGCAATTCA